AAGTGGAATTATAGATTTTAATTATAAAAACAAACAAAAACCAAACACTTGTAATATAATTTTGTATGTAATGAATCCATACACCAGTTTCACTTTCTAAAAAAAAAAAAGTTGTAAATCTGAGGTCTTAAATGAAAATCACAGCACTGAAAAAAATAACTCTACAAAACTATCAGCTATCTCAAGTAAAAAGTAACATGCTTACCAAAACTGAGACCACATACAACTTAAAAAAAACTACTTTTTATTTTACATCGCAACACTAGCATCAATACACAAAGTGTGATTTTGCGCTCAGATCTTTATACTGAAAAATGCCAATACACTTCATCATGAAAGCAAACAGCCATCAACATATCCTGCTATGCTAATACAACTTTTGATCACAGTAAATAATATAAGGTTTTATACTCGCATATACTGGTAACTTGTGAAGTATTTATGAACATGTTCAAGTGAGGTAGAATTGAACAGTTTTTGGAGGACAAAATGAATTTTTTTTCTAACAAGCAGGATGACTTTGGTCCCAATGTGTCAAAACAAACAAATATGTGAATATAATTTTGATATCACTCTAGCTGAGTGGGTCGAATGTTTCTTGCTAATGAGGCGACGTAGATCCTTCCCAGAATTAAGGCGATTTCGGCTTCGTCATCAAGCGTCGCCGACTCCAAACTGGGGCTCAGAAGAAAATTGGGCTTTTTCCAAATCCGACGACCCTAGACATGTGAATTAAAGTGTTGGCAGTTCAATTAAAGTCAAAAACAAGTCTTTGTCAAGAGGGTATTTTCCCTAGTTAAATTAAGTTTTATTTCACACTTCCCTTTGATTCACAAAACATAGAAAAATGCATTCGAAACCACTTCAAACACAAACTTTCAATGGGAACTATTCAAACATTCACCAGGAACATCTTCCAAACTTCAGCACTCTTTCAGTGTTTTTCCCCCTCCCGTCACACAGACTTCACAAACAAAGTCACATTTTCACACAAAGAGGGTGGTAACAAGGAGAAAGTAAGACGAGCATTCACATCGCATTGGACAGCAAGAAAAGATCTACTAAAAGATACAGATATTCATAGCACTTGACAATTCAGTGTGATTTCTTTTTTTTTTTTAATATAAAGAATCAGGGATGGATAGAAAAATGATACGAGTAAGCAGAAAACTCAGGGATCTTGAGATGCAAGAAATGTCCTTGTGATGGTCACTGAGAACACACACGTACTTTGCTTCTTCCTCTCACACTCGCACAAAGCCACAGGTTCTTCTCACCTCTCCCAGGCATTTGTCTTTCAAAAAATATATAAATAAAGCACAAACAGTTCTTGCTTTCCTTCCTTTTGCTCACTCTCATTCGGTCCAACACCAAATCCACTCATCGAGATCAAAAAGCGACAAGGGCAGACAAGATTTCTATATCCCGAAAAGAGGAAAGAAAAAAAAAAAAAAGAGGGGGAGGGGAGAGAAAAGAAAGGCAACACCCACCGTCTAACACTGTATACGCAGAGTGAAGTTGTGTTCTCGGATGATAAAGCATTTACACGTGGGAGGAGGGGAAGGGATACTGAGATCTGCCGAACATTGCAGCCAATGACGCGACTCCTCCCGGGAAATTGTGAAAGAGTTGGTGAACTGCGGAAGAAACGTTCATGAAGGCGTTTCCAAAGGAAAAGAAAAAATAAAACAAACCAAAGAAATACAATATGATGCATAAATATATATAATTATCTCACAGCCAGCTTTCGACAGACTGCGGGGAGACCTCAACATACTCGTGCACGTTTATGAACAGTTATGGTGCATGCACGGCCGTCTCTTCATAACATATTCTCACAAACGAAACTACGCAGGAGGATTCCACAAACTAAATGTTTTACCCATTCAATGCATGACTACACAGTCAGTCACACAAGTAGAAATGTTTGCTTTTACTAAAATAAAAGGCAGTGTTTCTTTCTTAAATAAGATATAAGCCATTCCTTCCTGTAGGTATACTTACCAGATTTGCCTAACAGCAAGAGAAAACGTCAACTCTCACCTAGCTCTACATTCCCCAGCTAGAAGACTTGGACTCCATTGACGTGCCAAAGCCGGAGCTGAAGCCGCTGCTGGAGGCCGTGTTAGTGCCTCCGGCCCAGCCCAGGCTGGCTGAGCTGGGGCTGCTGTAGCTGGTGCTGGCAGAGCTATACGTCTGATCTCTGGTGGTTGAGGCTGTGCCTGCCGCCGTGGTCAAGCCCTGCTGGTTAGCCAGCATGCCCATCATCCCCCAGCTGCTCTGCAGTGCCGCCTGAGCTGCTGCCACCATCGCTGGGTTAAGGCCCAGAGCCCCAAAGTTAACCCCTCCACTACCGCTGCCTAGCCCCCCGCGATTACTGCCGTAGCCCTGACTGAACCCGCCAGCCCCAAACCGACCCCGATCCATCATTTGCCTACTGTTATTGTGTTTGGGCTCAGCGTTGGAGATGTGCACGCTGACGCCCTTGATGATCAGGTCCTCTCCGCACAGAGCCTGGGCGACCTAAGGAAGAACAGAAGGAGAACATTTAACACCGCAGGCTGTTGATTACTTCAGTCTACGGATGACCAATACTATTCCAAACAGTTTGTGCTTTCTTCATTATTTCAATGCTTTGCAAAAGTATTCAACCCTCTCAAACGTTTCCGCATGACAACTGGAGACTTCAGTGTAAATTTAGGGACATTTGTGGTGATAAATCAACTATTGAGCAGCTCTTACTTTTAAGGAGGAAAGAAAATGTATGTTCTTCATTTGTTTTTACAAAAAAATTGTGTAGTTAGAATTTGTCTTCTATGTTTTTTGCTGCACATACAGCGGCAAGTCTTTTCAGGTATGTCTTTACCAGCTTTGTGTGTTTTGAAACTGAAGTTTTAACCCATTCATCTCTGTAAAATAATTCAAGCTTAATATAAACGCACATTTGTGCATGTAAAATAAATAACGTGACAAATGTTTGAGAGGTATGAATGCTATCGATTCTTACTGTAACATCAGCTATCTTAAAATTTGAGCTAATATTCAGTGTAAGTGAAGAGTAGCAGCTCTGACCTGATCATCAGCAAACGTGACAAATGCAAAGGCCCGGAAAGGTTTGGGAATGAAGACATCAGTGACTTCACCGTACTGCATGAAGTACTGCCTCAGATCGTCCGTCGTCATGTCCTCTGTGCAGCGGCCGACAAAGATTTTACGGCTCCGCATCGGTTCGTCGGGAGATGCCTGAGGAGAGAAAGAAGCCCAGTCAGGTTATAGATGGAGCGATTGATTGCGTTCAATCTATTGTGATGACTTAGAAAGTGATTTTCAAAACTTCTAAACCGCTTTAACGAAGGAATGCGACTACATCTTAACAGTGAAAGAAAACATCAACTTCTCATTTTCCAGAGTATTCTGCTACGGTGTCCAGCTTACCTTTGAGTTGGGAAGTTTGCAGTCACACCATCGTCCATCAATCATGTGTCTCTGAGCAATGACTTTGGTTTGCGTCTCATAGTCTGCAAAGCGGACGAACCCAAAACCTTTTGAGTTGCCAGTTTTTGCATCTCTCTTCACCTGGGAACAGCAAAGAGTGAGAATGCCAGATTAATTTCCACTTTAAAGTTGCTATTCAGTCTAGTTAGAACTTAATATTGAGGGGGAAAAAACAGGAGCATTTAAAGTTAAATGAGACATCAGTACCTGTACCATAATGACCTCCCCAAAGGTGCTAAAGTAATCCTTCAGGTCTTGTTCTGTTGTTTTCCAAGGCAACCCGAGGACTATGAGGTCTGACGTTTTCTGAAAACCTCTTTTGATTTTAACAGCCGACGCCGCGTCAATTTCCTCCATCTTCCTTTTGTTATCTGCAAAGAACAAATAAGATTCTGGCGTAAGAAAAAAAAAAAAAACAATCACAAAAATCTAATTAGACACACAGAGAACAAAAAGTAAACATCCACAGAATCAACTATAAACCAACACCATTTATTCTGTGCCATTATGTATATTTGATATTTAGCTATGTTTATTAATGATGCAGCTTCAGGTTAAGTGTCATGATTTAGTGACAGGTTTGTAACAAATTTGTAAAGAAAAAACAAAAACAAAAAAAAAACAACTTATGTTACAAGCCACTATTACACCTCCTGACTACCTTAGAAAGCATTTAAACCCAAGAATGTTTTTTTTGTTTGCAGATTCAGGAAATCATGTTTGACTTTAGCTTTTCACCCAACAGTTTAATTTGTTGTTTATTGCCACAATACTGAGGTCAGAATGGTTCAGGTCTTACCTGTCTGACAGGATTTGATATCGTTTTGTTTATTTATTTATTTATTTTTAGCTCCTCTCACTTGTGGAGTTTTATTTTTACAAACAAATTATTTCTTTAGGCTTCATCTTCAGACCATAAAACATCCCGTTTCATTTGAATGCTGGCTCTGACACTTGTCATACAGATCTGGATGGATTGGAGCCTTTTCAAAAGTCACACATCAAACCTTTAAGGGTGATGTATAATTCAAATCTTAACTTTGACAAACGGATTTGGTTAGACGCATGGGGATCCATTTTTGAAGTTGGAACTCTGTTGTAATTGGAAGTCTTAAAACACTGGATCCACAGTTTAATTGCACCCCAATTTAATTGGTTATTTTTATTGGCCCTTCTTCATTTTCTAAGTGATTTTAAACATGTTTTTGTTTACCAATGATGCACTGAATGGACAGGCACTTGTAACTCTTAAGTTCTGGACCAAACTGCCCCTCATCTAAAAACAAATCGTTACTGAATGGCTTTTAATACCTTAGGAGAGCTAACATTTTTCTGTTGAACCATGTTGATCATTTACCTATTGTAACTTGTGATTTCTTGACTTGTCTGTATGTTAGTTTTGTGCTTTTGTGTTGTATTCTTAATTATACTACTTTTTGCACTATGCCTGAAAAATACATTCTATATAAATAACCTTGAATTTTTTTCTGAAACAGTGAAAAGTTTTTGAGGGATTTACGAAGGAGTGTGGATGTGGATGATAAGTATTGTTTTCACACCAAACTCTAAAGAAAACCTATACACTGTGCTCTGCGTTAGCTTTTGCTATCTTTAGGAATTTGATTATAAAGTAACACAACTAGTAATGCAGAATAAAAAGCATTTTATAATGGGTTTTGTGCAATAGCTGCTAAATCTCTGACTGCACACTCGCTTTGAATACAGGCTGAAGTTTGCAGACAGTCTGCTGGTAAAAAAAAAACAGGAAAAGCATATCCTGTCTCACCTTTGGGATAGTTTACGACATAGACCAGGTTTCCCCAGCTGCTCTCTGGTGCATGCAGGACGCCCTCCACCAGCCGGACCCCCCTCATGCACTGGGACTCCGGGTTTCTGTACCGAAGACCGCAAGCCCCCGGGAACTGGGCTGATACCGAGGATAGTAGAACAGTCCCATCGTCCTCTGAGGGGATCTCCATGGGCTCCTCGTTCTCATCCTCAGCCACCCGAATGTACAGCTCTGACATTTTGCTCCGGGATGGCTGAGCGCTGGTCCGAGAGCAGTCAGCTGATGACGGAGCTCAAGTTGCTGGTTAACCACTGAGGCTCAACGCGAGTTGGAAGGTCTTAAACGTGGCTCAAATTTTCTTCGGTTTAAACAAAAGAAGCAAATGTACAACAACGGAAGTCAGGAGCAGACAAACCGTGCTCATTCGACAGTTGTAACATTTAAAAGCTGGCGGTCATGAAAGCCCGATGTTTTCTCTCAACGGAACACGTAAACAAGTTAGCCAGCTAGCTAAAGAGCTAGCAAACTCAAAGCAGCTCGGAAAATGAATGACTATGTTTAATGTCAGCGAGTAAACAATTCTTATTCCGGCTTACAAGTGTGTAATCGAAAATACAATGCAAGCAAAAATCTCCACAAGTTGTTATTTTCGGTGAAATTTCATGAACGAAATCTGCACAGCTACACACGGCTAACAAAATGGCCGCGGACCGCTCACCTTGTAAAGATGACATCATCGTGCTGGAACAGCTCACTTTCATGTTTCTGTAGGGGAGGTGGAAAAATAAAAATAAATGAAATAAACATTATTACCACTGGTAATCTCTTTGAATAAATCATAGTTCGTGTTTTTGACGCTGTGTTAATGTTTCTGTCTTGCGGTTTTTGATGTACAAATCTTAAGCGTAGTGACGTCTTCTTAAGGCAAAACCACGACGACTCACGTTAAAAACCGAAATAAAAGGGACTCAAGTTAATATTCTGGAAAATTGGATATATACTTTTTAAAAATATGTAGCAAACTTAAAATAATTACCGTGAATTTGTATAAAAAACGTTCTAAACAAAATAATTATTATAAATATTAATTACTCTGTACAATCTTTATTCTGTGCAGACAATGCTGAAATAAAACAAGCTGGTGCAGAGATTACTACATATAACAAATAAGAAATAAAATGGTTATGTTGAATTAATGTAAATCCCTTCAAACTATATATTTTTGCATAATATTCTTAGCAATAAACAAAATAACGGAACTTTTTTGGGAGTGTCACATCAGAAAGACACACAGAAAGCAGAAGCAAGCAATACAGTGTCTTTATTGCTTATTATTATAAGGTGAGTTTTTAGTGTGAGTTATAAGCATCGCTAGAAAAACCTACATGTATTTAGGTGAAATTAATAAACTCTTTCATTTCTACATTTGAAAGTGAATTAAATTCTGATTCATGTGCCGTTCTGTGAAGCAGGTTGTATTTTCTGCAGTGCAGAAAGGAGAGGGTTCAAACATAAAAGTATGGGCTGGGTCATGATTGACTTGGAGTCTGGTCTTACAAAAAAAAAAAAGATCTGATTATCATTTATTAAATCCCAAAGTTGAAGACTATGATAAAATTGAAAGTATTTGCAAAAGGTTGGTAGAGAAAGCTGTATTACAAAAGTCTCTTAAATTACAGGTTTAGTGCAATAAAAAAAAGACATTGTGGTGCTGTTCTCAAAGCAGTTGTCAGACAGTGTGACTGATCCAATACCTTCAGCATGTAACCTTGTTTGTTCTCCAATTCATAATAACTTTAATTACCACTGACATGAAAAGTAGAACTAAAATCCAGGTGGCCCCATATTCTGATTGCTGATGGTCAAAAAATGTGACAAAGTCAGACATTAAGGGAAATAATTTGAGCTTCAAGCCAAACATTTTTCCACTAGATGGACAGAGCTTAGGTAAACATGTAAGAATTTAGTGACACCAACTCATACACAGGACCAAAAGTTTAGGTTTTCACAGACTCATGAACAACAAGTTAGACCCATGTTGTTTCTCCAGATATGCTTCTACCCCTCCAACCCCCACACCTTTAAAAACATACTTTATCCTGTTGTCTATATATGTTTATTGATAACATCAACTCCAAATAAGACAGTGGTTCTAATTTCGAAATGCTGCGTGGGTTTGACCAGATGAGGAAGCAATGACAAAGAAAATGCAACGATAAAGCTCTGGTGCTCACTGGTGTTCAGCAAGGAGGAGACAAGACAATTTGTGACTCTTACCATTCTTGCAATACAAATACTGCAAATCAAGGATAGTGCTGCCGTACCGGTACATGTTTCGGCTGAGCTATAAAATGACGCAACACAAATGTTGTGTGACGCAGCAACAAACTTTTCACACATTTGCTCAAAAGGTAAGCAGCTATGAGCAATTACAGCCCTGTGCTGATAACAAACATCTCCCGCAGGCGTGCCACAGAGTAGATGTGCTCACCTTCAAAGAGACAAATCACAAAACGCATTGGAGCATGGAGAACATAGTGCCATCCGAAGGTGAGTGTGCCGATGATGAACACAGTAAAACTAAAGAGGTGATTAATTATTGGATGTTATTGTGACCATTAGCTCCTCCGCTGCATTTAATAGAGCCACAGTTGGCTCTGTTTTTGTTTGTCACTCAGTCATGCCTAACCTGAACACTTTATGCTGAGTTTTTTTCAGCCTCTGCCTAAAGTGAGATTTAATAGACTAAGTGCCTAACATTAGGAATTGAGATCCGCTATTGACAGGTCGTTGCTTTGACAGCAAAACGTCTCCGACAAGTCTGGTTTAACTAAGAACATCTGGAGTCTGTTGAGATTTCTGCTGCGTAAAGCAGAGTTAAAGCTTTGGACAATTTCAGAAAAACAGAAAAGTATTTTAGGACTGGAAATGAACACAAAGACTCAGGTGATCTGAACCCACGGATTTTCTGCTGAGGGAAGCATTGCAGCTGTTTTTTGTTTTTTATTATTTTGTAATGTGAGGCTGGTTTACAAAAATAGAAAGATAAACGGGTCAACATACAAGGCAATTCAGGGAGAAAAGCTGTTAGAAGCTGTACAAGACTTGAAACTGGGGAAGAGGTTCATGTTCCAACAGGGCAATGGTCCTAATCTCACAGTCTGAGCCAACTCGTGTCACATCAGCACAGATCTAATTGAGAATCTATAAGACTGATGCTCACACATGTTTTACAATCAGACTGAAATGTAGCTTTTCTGCACATCAAAAATATGAGTATCAACATGTGCAGAACTGCTAGAGAAACACACTAAAACACTATGCCAAAGGTGGCTCTACAAAAATACTGACTCAATAATGAATACATGTGCTTCACAATTGTCAGATTTGTATTTTGGAAAAAAACAGGTGTTACAAGTAAAGCATGTTGTAACCTGAGATGATGTAAAAAAAAATAATAATAATAATCAAGGGGTGTGAATACTTCTCCAAAGCAGAAAAAAAAAGTTGTCCTCTTTCTATTTTTTTGCCTCATTTTTTTTTTAAATCCATCTTTACATTTTCAGGTATTTTTATATCTTCAGTTTTGCTTTAATTCCCATCTTTATTCCATGCTGCGCATACGTTTATATTCGCTAAGGCTGATTAAACAAGCAGAAATATGGGCAGACCTCCGGCAGCTGGGGAGATAATCCAGACGTAGACGGGTGCAGGTGATCTAAAATAAACGCATCCCTTTTCCTGAGCAGCAGACAAAGACACAAGCACCAGGCTCATTTCGTCTCACAGCTGAACAGAATAAAACTAAACATTTTAGTTACACCGTGCCATGTTTCTTTGGTATTATATTCTGGTTGTCTCAATCGGCGCTGAGTTGAATGAAGCTTTACCTGTCACTACTGCAGTCTTTCTAACCTCCAGGAGAGGGCAGTATTGACTGTTTTTTTCCCCCCCAGCATTGTTTTAATAGGCTGCAGCTTGCCCTCCAGGCCTGTTCCAAGCGAACCAGTTTTGCGAGTTTTTGTACCCGCACAAACAGACTAATTTTTAATTATGCTATAAATCATGTTATACTCTAAACATGTCATAACCCAAAAAATAAATTACACGCGGTAATATCGCATTGCCAACATTTTTGCTGCGTTATCTTGCTTTCGCCTTATCACAAACATAATTGTTGAACAGAATTGCATATTTGTAAAGAAATCTGAGGTAAAGAAATATATATTTTTGCTCCAAAGATAAGCCCTTTTTTTTGTGTCACCTTTGTTATTGTGACCTCTTGACATGCACCAAAGCTCCTGCAGATGACAACAGCGCAGTGTTTTGCAGTTACATGCATCATATACAATGGGCCATGGGGCAGAAAATCTAAACTTCCTAGAGCCTTTGGTTCCCATCTGCTCTGTGAACTCATGAACAGGAAATGGAATAAGCTCTGCAAAAAAAAAAAAAAAAAAAAGGCACACCAACATCCTCCTTCTTTTCATGTGGCCTATTGCAGCTATTAGCCTTTCTGTGTATCGACTGTTAAGTCTCTTTACAAAAAAATCTCTTTCATGTTCTACTGTTTCTTTTTTGTTGTAATTTCAGTCGGAGCATATGGTTGGCACATCTGGGGGATGCTAAGCATGGTAGCACCCAGCCCCCAACACACACACACACACACACACACACACACATATGCACATATTGCTCCTGTTAAGTGATCCATATATGGTCTTCATTGTCATTGCAGATAATCACTCATCGCTGCTATAAACAGGTCCTCCTTACTGGTTGCCTTAGGTTTTTGGAAAAATAACCTTTCTTTGTGTTCGCATATCTCCTTGTCTTCACCCGCCGCGCGCTGTTTGAGCATTTCTGCAGACTCAACCATGAAAGTGCAAAACCACAGAAAATGTGCACTGTTATAAAACCAGAAGGCTCAGCGACAAAACCGTGCAGCTTCTGTCATGTGACCACAAACAAGCAATCAGATCAGGAAAGTAGGTGAGTGTATCTCGTTTCATTTCCTCTCAAGCAGATGCATTTAATCCCACTTTGATTGAAATAAGGAGTCATTAAAGGAGATTTAACGATGCCAACATGAAGTGAAAATCACTATTGTGTGCAACTTTACGCCGTTAAATGACACTTCTGCCAGGCAGACGAGGTTCACATGCCAGCGGAGAGACACACGAGGGAGGAAGAGGAGGTTGAAGGAAGGCTATGTGTGGCTCTGAGTGGTTTGCCGAGCCTCTTCATCTCTTTCAGCGGGTAATTACAGAATCATGGGTCAACCACGCATGTAACCACAGTTGCATTGCACAGTAGCAGATGTCCTCTTGGCATTCTCTAGCAAAAAAGGTAAATAAAAACAGATGTGGCCGGTTGCTATACAGATCTTGGCCAAACTTATGCACACCACTAATTGTTCCCATGTGGGCCCACTGAGCCGGAGCAGTGCAAGGAGAGGCAAGGGAAGGCAAGGGGTGGGTATGGCCTGTTTGAGAAATGCTGGTTTTTCTCAGGAGGAGAAATTTATGAATGGGAGAGGGAGTCTCTGGTGGCATAGCTGTGGTGGTGTGTGTTTATTTTGCTATGTGTAAAAAGCAGGCTTCCCTTGTCCGATTCAAAATGAGGTTTTTTTTTTTCCTCTGTTTCCTCTGCAGGTCTCCTCTCTACTTGATCACAATGGTTCTTTGAGTCAAGCTGTGCCTGACTGGATGTGAGCCAGGTGTGCT